GAGTTCTCCCAATGGATCCTCTCCCATATCAGGCTGACTGCCTGGGGGCCCTAGGTGGCAGTCAGTATTTGCCAGAAACAGTTCACTTTTCACAAGACAATGAATCTGCTTCTGCTGTTGACCAGCCAGAGTCTTGATTAATATTTGCAAAATAACAAAGTGGAAAATTCCACCTATGTGGGTGGAGTCTGGACCTGTGGGACATGTCCACAACCCCGATGGCCTTGTTCTCTCAGGGATGGATCAGGTAGAGAAACAAAGGTCTGAGTAACAGTGACAGAATCTGGGAATTGTCATTATTCTTGGGTCCAAGGGAAGTTCCCTGTTCAGCTCATACCGACAGGTATTAGAGTTTTGTTTTAATTGTTCTGTCTCTTCTGCCCCTAAATTTATACAGCACACACCACTTTCAGGTCCTTCAACTTGTTTCCTACCTTCTGTTTCTTTTGAGTCTCCTAACAGCCCTGCTCAGGAAGCAGGACTGATGACAGCCCCATGTCATGGATGGAGAAACTGAGGCTCCAAGAGACCAAGTGTTTTACTCAAGCAGTTGGTGAATGAGTCACAGAGTCAGACAGTCTGGATATCAGGCATCCCACCACCAGCAGCAGCACAGAACCTGTCCTGGGAGTCTGGGTCAGGGTCACAGGCACCGGGCAGAGAGGTCTCCCAGGCTCCACAGAGGCCCTGACCTTTGCCCTGCCTACAGAGAAAGAGAATGAGTTCAAACCAGTTTTTCTGGGTGGGCAGGCTTTGGTACTGGCCTTGGTATGCTAGTTTGTTCATCTATTTAAACATTTAATGACTGCCTTTATCTCACAGCCTATAATCACCTAATTGCCACTACCCTGCCTCACCCACCCCATTTTACAGAAAAGGAAACTGAGGCTTGAGAAGAGGAGGAACTCACCAGAGGTGGGGAGGGAGGGAGGGAGGGGCAGGGAGAAAGAGGAAGAAGAAGAGAGAGGCAGTTGAGACCGCTGACCCGCAGTAGCCCTGTCGTCAGTTCATAAATCCACAAAGTTGTCAGCCTTAGTTGTGTCCCTTCCAGCAGGCCACCTCAAAGCTGCATGTCTAATCCACAGAAACCTCTCATGAGGGGACACTTGTGTCATGGTCATCTGGGCCAGTTGAAGAGCCCTAGGAGGCAGGCAGGCACATCCTGTCTGCCCACTGGGAACTCCAGCCACGCTGCAGGGCTCTCCTCCCACCCCCCATTCCACAGCCCCGGGAACCAGCATAGTGTCATCTCTGGGCCCAGGGCAGTGGGCTCCCCACTCAGGCTGTGTCTTGAGTCTCTGCCTAGCACTCCTGCCCAAGTACCCCTCCTTCCACTCCTCCTGCCCACAGGCTCAGCTACCTTCACACTATCCTCACCTTATGATTCCTCTTTCCTTTGCTCACCAGCTTTTCTCCTGGAGAAAGAAGCTCAGCCTTTCCCTTTTTAAAAATAAAGACACAGGTGGGTAGTGGCTCACACCTATAATCTCAGCACTTTGGGAGGTCCAGGTGGGAGGTTTATTTGAGTCCAGGAGTTCAAGATCAGCTTAGGCAACATAGCAAGACCTCGTCTCTACAAAAAATTTTGTTACAAATTAGCTGGGTGTAGTGGTGTGTGCCTGTAGTCCCAGTTACTTGGGAGACTGATGTGGAAAGATAGCCTGAGCCCAGGAGGTGGAAGTTGTGGTGAGCTGTGACCGTGCCAGTGCACCCCACTCAGTGCAATAGTGAGTCCCAACCTTAAAAAAAAAAAAAAAATCCACCTCTCCCAACTCCTATTTTGGAGTCCACTCCATCCCAAGACCATCCCACATGCTCGTGCCAAGGTCATCATGACTGCTATCATCAGCCTCAGACCAAGGCCCCCTGCTGCAGCCCCTCCTAGTCCTTCCCTTCTTCCTGAAAGCTCTCCTCTTCCAGGACACTATCCTCTTCTTCTCTCCCCCTGGGAATGTCTGACTCACAAACCCTGTCTCCAGGCCTAACCTCTGCACCACTCGTTGTCCCAAGCTCCCCATAGCACGACCTGCCCTGGAGCACAGCTGTAAGGCCCACACAGGTCCCAGCCTGGCCCACAGCAGGCGCTCAGACACTCACGGAATGAATGCATGTTGCTGAACAGCTGCCTGCTCACTGGTCTCAGAAGGGTTGTCCGTCTACTGGCCCTGCACAGCCATCCAGGTGGCCCTTTTAAAACTGAAAGTTGGCCAGCACCTAAGCCTCTGCCATGGTTCCTTGGCACCATAGGACAAAGTTCATGATTTTCAACTGACAGATGAGGCTGTTTCCATGTGAACTTCTGCAGCAGGGTGGGTACTTGCGCCCTTGAATATACTTCTCACTGTACTCCTCCTCAGTCCAGGAGCACCCATGTGTCGTTCACCTTTGTGCCCTTGAATATACTTCTCACTATACTCCTCAGTCCAGGGCACCCATCAGCACCCATGTGTCGTTCACCTTTGCACCCCAGTACCTAGCACCCAGCAGGTGTTTGCTAAACAGGAAGATAACTATCAGACCTGGGAATGGTCTCAAGAACCACAGGGCACAAAGCAACTCAGAGAGGTGGAGTGAGGGGCCCAGGGTGGCCCAGCCCCAGGCAAAGGTGAGACCACAACCTCACCTGAATGACGCTCCTTGGTCAGGGATCCGACCAATTATCTGGAAGTACCACATGCAATCCCACACGTATGTATGCCAGAGCTCCTAGCTGACTTAAGGCTGGGGGCTGGGCCCCACTCCGTGCAAGTCCAAACCAACCCGGCACACAGTAGGACCTCAGCAAAAACAGCTGCTTGACTCAGAGCAATCTCTCACCAGCTGGCAACTCATCCATAAGATCTGTAGGAACCCCGCAAAAGGAGTTGAGGGAAGTGTTTTTCTGTGTTTGTTTTTGAGGTAAGGTCTTATTCTGTTGCCCAGGGTAAAGTGCAGGTAACACGGTCACAGCTCACTAGGCCTCTGTCTTCTCAACTGCAGAGCGGAGCTAATCCAGCCTACAAGTGTAAGTGATCCTGAATTGGTCACTGCAACCTTGTCATTTGCAAACGGAGGGGGCTGAAGCAGCCGTTCCAAGCTCTGGGACTTCACTATTAGCCCCGCTGATTTTTAACCTTCCCCCAAATCACTGTGTCTCAAAGGAGGGTCCCTGGGCCATCCACCCTAGAATTACAGGGGCGTGGGGAGTGGGGGGTTGAGAAGGAAGGAGGCTCGCTAAGTGCAGATCTCGGGCCTGATCCGTACCTGCGCTCGGAATCTCATTCGCCGAGCGAACCTGGGCACCGTGACGCCTGAGAACCGCCCCTCCGAGTCGACAGTGCAGAAGCTTCCGCTTTAGACCACGTTAACTGTCAGAACTCAACATGTGGAACACACAGTTACCCGAAAGCCTGGGGGTCGGCAGTGGCGGTTCCTATCACTCTAATAACGTGTAACTTAGTTCCTGCGAAGAACTGGTTCCCCCCAAGAAGACAGTGAGGCTTTGGCACCCCGCGTCCAGCCCCTTCTGTTTCCCGGGGCTCGGCCCTTGCGCAGCGGCCCGTCTCGGAGTCTAGCCCGGTCCTCCCGACCCACCAAACCTCCGGCCCCGAGGCCTCACGGAGCTCCGTGCGGGCGGCTGAGGGGGGGGCACATCCCCCGCTACTC